TCTTCTGCCTGAACACGCATTTATTCGGGTTGATCGCTATTCCATGCTGTTGCAGTCTACCGAACAGAATCTTTAAGTGCTCTTTGTGCTGGGTTTCGTCCTGCGAAGCGATTAGAATATCATCAATATAAGTGAAACAGAAATCGAGTCCTACGGTTATCCGATCCATGAATCGTTGAAAAGTTTACGAAGTCCAAAAGTCATGTATGGAAATTCGAAAAGCCCGAATGGTGTGATGATGGCGGTTTTCGGAATATCTGATTCGCGAACTGGAATCTGCTGATATACGCGTAGATCGATCGTGGAGAATACGGTTTTACCATGAAGGAAATGTGTGCTGTCTTGAAGAAATGGAATTGAGTAACGGTCCGGAACGGTTACCTCGTTGAGCTTGCGGTAAACCCCGCATGGACGCCAGTCATCAGTGTTCTTCTTCTAAACCAGGTGCAGTGGGCTGGCCCAAGGGCTCTTGGAAGGCCTGCAAAAACCCTGTTGCATCATATATTCGAACTCTTGCTTGGCTGCTTTAAATTTCTCTGGACAGAGTCGTCTGGTTTTGTTTGACACCGGGGGATCCGTTGTCTCGATAACGTGTTCTACCCCATGTGCGGCTTGTTTATGCGTAATCGATGCTCGAGTTATCTCTGGGAACTCATTTAACATTTCTTTGAAAGGGCAGTCGTCGGCAAAGGCTGTCAACTTTGGAATGGTTCTGCAAATGAGCATTGACTTTGAGGAACGTGTCACCATCAATCAGCCGCTTGTGCCGGATGTCGGGCAACAAGTTATAACGCGCCAGAAAATTCGAGCCAATTATGAATGTGTCCACTTCGGCGATAACGAAAGGCCATTGGAAAATCCTGCGGAATCCCAAATCGAGCCGCAGTAATTTCTGTCCATATGTAGGGATGATCGTTCCGTTTGCTGCGTAGAGTATCTGTTTTCCAATATGCGCAAGATTGCGTCTTGAGGCGGATATGGTCGAGACATCCGTTCCAGTATCCACCAGGAATCTGATGCCGGTGACGCGGTCCCGGACTATCAAACGGTGATCGCCACTGCCGAACCTCCTGTCGTCGGCGATAGTTCGACTTCTAGTTTTCCTGTTCCGTTGATGCTTTCGGCTTCCAGCTGCAGGGTTGCGTACACTTGACTACGTTACCGCCGAAACGTCGATGATACCAGCACGGCCTGTTCTTAGATTGTGACCTTGAATTGTTGGCTTCTACGACGAGAATTTCGCGAGACCCGTGATCTGTCGCGCGATAAATGAACTACCAATTTATCTATCCGTTTTATAAGCGCGGATATTTGCGGATCTACCGAACTAGCTTTCGTCGGCGCAACCGTTGCGATGGCATTAACGCCAGTGGATAGCACGTCCGTTATTCGGTCTGCTAGTTGCGATAGCTCTTCGAGTTCGTGCTTGCTAGACGCTAGTATAGCTTGCACTTGTTGTGGTAAGCGCTGTAGCCATAAGGATTTGAGCACCTCTTCTGATGCGCCATCTTGCGCGAGATCTCGCATCCGACGAAACAATTGCGACGGGCGGCGATCACCTAGGTCAATCTCGTTTAATAATCTATGCAGTTTCTTTTCGGCGCTATCCGCGAAGCTTCATACTATCTTTGAGCGCGACGTACCTATCCATCGCGGGCGGATTGAGTATGATATCGCTAACTTCGGACAAAGAGTCGTCGTCAAGGCATTGTATCACATAATTATATCTTGTGTTGTCTACAGTTATGCCTGCGGTGAGGAATTGAGCTTCCATTTGTACGAACCAGAAGTCTGGCTTCGTTTTCCAAAACGGCATGGATCTAATTCCGACTCGCGAAAGCGCAGGTATTTCGATTATACGCGACGATACACCGCTGTCCTGATTGCGCGCAGGGGAATCGCTTGAGCCACTCGGCATGTCGACGGTTTATTTGGACGCGCGCGCAAGGTTAAACACGAGAGGTCAAACGCGCGCAAAAACGCCACGCAATCATGTCAGGATCACCAGTTCGTGGCTATTGGAGCGAATGCTGTGCAATATGGCGCCGATGGTTACCAACCAAAGGCGAAGGACAATTGGCGGGAAATCGTTAGGTTGAGAATGAGTGCTACTCACTGCTTTTGATTTTTATGCCATAAGGCGATTTAATACAAACTTAATATTAAATTAACTAAATACAAATATAGATTAGAAAATAGAAATGTGATTGCGCGTGTAAGACGGCTCGGATACCGGCATGGTGTTGCGGAGTTACAATACCAGAACTATGAAAATACACTTAAAGTAATTATCTGACAACGCTAATAATTATTACAGACATGAACAGTGATCGGTATCGGTCTCGTGGAATACACAAAGTAATTCGGAACCTCAACTTCTGAGTTCTAACTTACTGACTGACGCCATGACATCAGAGAGAGCGAACGGAAGAAGAAATGAAAAGAACGACTACATCAGCGCCGCGACGGACGCATACAGCACTGCCACTGGCGCTCGCAGCGCCGCAGCTAACATTCGTAGCGCCGCGACCAACGCTCGCAGCGCCGCGACTAATGCTCGCAACGCCACACAGTTATGCCGTACACCTCCATCTCGTGGCAGTACAGTAACAGTACAGTAGTGGTATTTTGTGCGGGTATCGTGGGATATGTTTAGTTAGCTGGAGTATTGGATCATCTAAAAAGTATCCGCGGTTTTTTGTCACTAAATGTGTTGACTATCAACACCATCTAGTGACAAAAAACTACGGATACTTTTTAGATGACCCAATATTTTACTATTGAAGATTTTATCACCGGTTAGTGATAAAATTTTTAGTAGTAAAATATTGCTGTTCGAGAGTGAGTCAAAGCGAGAGCGACAGCGAGAAAATTTTGAGTGAGACGGCGTTTTAGTTGAAGTTCGATTTACACGAATTCTCGATCGCGAATCGAACACGGTGATTTTCTGGCGGCGGAGCGTCTCCCAGGCGATTGCATTTGTAGCGAAGCGTTGACTCTGACCGAGAACAGCGAAGAGAGCGCATCGCTGCTCGATTTGGCCTTTTATTCTTTTTGAAGAACAAAGGCTTCCTTTTACAAACGCCTATGAGATTCTCGCAAAATCGAAAAATTTAAGGTGACCGATGATTTAGGCGGCGATTGGCAATTTCGAGCGCGATGGTTAAGCGGTACGCTATTGCCATGCGCGCCCGCCAAATCAGGAATCTTGATTGGGGTGTCAGTATATTACGTGTTTCGTGCGAGCGCTGCGACCGATTTGAATTTGCTTGCCGTTTTAGCGATTGGAATTTGTGTACGTGCGACATACAGCTTTGCTTATGTTTTTTGATTTTATTAACGAGGTGATTGTTAAGTTTGTGCTCTGGAAACTTCTAAAAACGCTTGGAATCCTTCTAGAAGCTTCCAATCCGCGTGTCGCGGACGTACACCGAACCTGCAAAAACTGTCTGTTTCGACTGTATCTCGAACAATTGCCATTGGTAAAATACCATTGAAAGCATCACTGAATCGTATAAATGAGTAGCTTTTAATGAGTAGCGAATGATATTCCTATTGACAATAATCCAATGGCAAAATATTATACCACTGATCGAATGATATTCCTATTGATGTGTATCCAATAGTAACTAATATACCATTAGTCGAATGATATTCCCACTACATCCAATGATAAAGTATTTTACCACTGACCGAAGGATTTTTTTATTGAACGCCTCAAATAGTAAAATCATTCGATAATGATAATGCCGCTGAGTTCGTATAATTTTATCATTAGTTCAAATGATTTTACTATTATCTGAATGATAATATCATCGATACTTTTCGCGACGGACAAATCCGCTGGAGTCGAATACACTATAAATTTGACGATTTAATTAAAACTTTTGTTATAATCAAAATATATTCTATAATCAAAATATATAGTTTTCTTATAAAATAAAATAAAAATAAATAATATAACTCGGTAAATAAAAAATATTACCATTTATACGTCCGTATTTTACGGCTCCATGAGACACAAGGATATGTAACACGCAACGCAATTGCACTCCGACGGCAAACAATTATCGATCAAATATTTATTAATAATTCATATTTATAACAGTTTGCAAATTCTAATAGCATTTAATAAAATAATATTTACTGTACAATATGTAGAAATCGTGAATACAATAAATGATCCATTTTCCTGTTCCTGTACTAGACTGCACTAGAACTCTCTTTTCACGTAGTTGTGGATTACATGAGAAATATCTGCCGTATGTACATACGTCCCTAGAACTTATTCTACAATGATCGTAACATAAGATCATAACATAAATCGCAACACGCAAAACACGCAACGTTTGTTAACAAACAGCGAATCAGAAGCGTCAATGGTACTATCGACTATTTCTGATTGGCTGTCGCGACAAACGTCACGTATGTGTTTTATATAAACGCGACTTAATATGTTGACTTTTTTAATTTAAATAAAACATAATCAAGTTTGCAGTGAAATGAAACTATTTTCTTTACGTTAACCCATGAAAATAGGTGAAAAACATTTTAATATAATCAGTGTAGATAAGTTGCACATACTTAAAATGAAACGAAGAAATGAGGAAATTGTTATATAATTGTTAAGGAAATTGTTAACAATTAGATAAATTGTTCATTTAAGCAATAAAACACTATTAATAATAATTCTAATTACTTATGTTAAAGTTACGATTAACCATACATCGGGCGAGAGAGATTTCTGATTGCTACATTTTCTCAACTATAGAGTTACTAGTTTCAATAGCATTTTATATTGTTCAGGCCAGAGTCGAATGTAAACAAAAAATTCTTCATAATCAGTTAATCTAATCGCGAAACAGATTAAATAGGAAACTCTGTTGTCGTCTTCTTTTATTGATTGGCCTGATCCACCAACGTCGATTTAATAATACTATTTAATTATACTTCGATTTAATAATAAAATAAAAAGCGTTGAGGCCTATTTTCAAATCCGTCTTTAAACTTATGGTGAATTCGATCATTCGCACTACACTGGATCAGCGCATAATTAAAAGCTACTTTATATAAACTATCTCAATATAGTAATACAGTATAATCAACTTTGACAATGAAATGATACACATATATTTTGTTAAATAACGTGACAATATCATTAATAGATATCGTTTAAAATATTTATATACTTTTACATTTAACTTTGCTAATTTCATGCAAAGTAGCTTTTAATATGCACTGATCTAGTATAGTGCAAATGGTCGAATTCGCTATTATAGTTAATAACCTCTTAAACAAACAAATTGGCCATTGCTTTCATCAGATCAATGTTTCTGATTGGTTGTCTCGACAAGCGTTGCGTGTGGGTTTTGCGTGTTGCGATTTATGATCTTACATTACGGTCATTGTAGAATAAGTTTTAATAACTTTTGCGGATATCCGATGCGGATTACGGATTACGGCAATGTGTGACGGGAATTACAATTCAGTATTTTAGAGTAGTGCTCGCAAAGATTTGCTCATTTTGGGTCGATTTCGATGAACGATCCCCATTACCGCTTGAGGCTCGGCAGTCTGGGTACTCACGTGATACTATGGCTCAGGGGCTTAAACGTCTCTGTAGCTTAAACGTGCGGAAGTTGTTTCTTACGTTATTAAACAATATTTTTTTGCAAAATTTTTATTTTCTTAAAAAAATCAAATATTAAATTTTCTAAAATATTTTGTCATAATAATTCTTGTCTAGAAACCATTCAATAATTGTTATAAATTTACATCGAGAAGTTTCTATAATATATCGAGAAGTTTCTATATCGTCTTTATGTAATTATTTAACATTCTTTTTTAAACAATGTAGTACACAAGAAGGGCAAAGAATGTATAAAAGAATTTTAATTTAAATTAGCAAAATTCATCCAAAACAATTATAATTAACAAATGTTTCGACTTCAATCGAGTCATTTTCAATGTAGTCTTAATATCAACATATCAACATCATTCTAAATCAAAAATATGCACATGATTTTACAATATTATTATAATTCTTTAATATCAAATTTTTTACTCCGTGTAGTACGCTGCGAGTCATTTTTATCAAGAATTAAAGTAGTCATAAGAAAATTCTGGGAAAGTAACCGTGAACAAAAAGAATTAATATTAATTACATAAAAATTAGTAATATGATAATGTACCTTATCAGTGATATCAGTAAATGTGTTAAGAGTCCATTAATAAAAAAAGAAAAAAAATTGCAAGTAGATTGTAGTCCATTTCATGGTACAATATAATAGTCTTTTTATTCTATAAATTATTTTAAGCAAATTTGGAAAGGTAACGAGTATCTAACTTTCACGATGTCAAATAACGAAATGTCAAGAAGAAAAACATTTATCAAGACAAATAGAGGGGAAAAGGAAAGAAGATATTAGGAAGGAGAAAGAGAATGTATAATGTTAGAATACAATTTAAGCAAAAACTCTGTGTCATTTTGTCTGTTTATTCCATGTTTCTGTTTTTTAATATGAACTATTTCAAATATCAACCTTTTATTATATGAAGGCTCTATATCTAATATGTCCACTTTATCTCATTTAAAGTTATGATTCTTCTCAATACGCTGATTGGAAATCACTGATGGAGATTTTGAACTTATATTGATATCCGAAACATGTTCATGCAATCTTCAATTGTCTTTTTGTCTGGCCAACATAACTTAACATCACAATTCTTATAAGATATTCTGTAGACTACATTTTGATTATGAAAGTGTTCCAACTCATCCTTTCCTTTCTTTATGAAACTTATTAATGTGTTAGGAATAGTAAAAGCCAATTTACAATTAAACATGTTAATTATAGGTATAAATCTTTCAGATATTCTATTGATATTATATATGGAATCATAAAAAATCTCTTTGTGTTATCCTTATTTTTATTCAAAATATTGTTAATATGATATTTAATTCTATTATGAATAGTCGAGAAAATAAAACGTAAAGGATATCCATTCTGTAAAAAAATATTAATAGCGTCAATCAAATATTATTTTGTTGGAATTTCGGATGACACAAGCAAAAAATCTTATCCACAACTCCATAAATTACACCTCTTTTATAACAAAGTGGATGGTGTGAATGGAAATTAAGAAATCTACCGGAAAAGATTGCTTTACGGTATATATCAAAAATAAGATTCCGTTCTTCAATAATCAACATGGTATCCAAAAAACATATTTTTCCATCAATGCCCATAGTGAACTGCAATCTAGCGTGTAACAAATTAAAAATATCCAAAATATCACCAATATTCTCAAACGGAGCAGCTAAGATAATATCTTTTTTAAACAGTTACATAAAGACGTTACATACGTTAAAGAGAATGTTAACAATTAATCGTTAATGAGAAATTAAAATCAAGAATTTAAAATGATAAAATTATATTTGCTAATAGAAGAAAATAGTTATTGCGATATAAAATCCTTGTTACTTGATGTTTGAGAAGGCTCGCGAATTAAATTGTAATTCTGAACTGCGTGAACTTGCTTTATTGCACAAAACTGCTCACGCTCACCACGTGCTAGACCCTCTCGCCATCTTGTCTCCTTCTCCTGTGCGGTTACGCTGCGCGTAAGCAAACTCAGTAACATAGCCTCATTCCATCGAGATATATGCCACCTCCCTTGAAGGACTTTCTTTCAATTGAATTAATATAAGGGTGCTTAAACTATGATATTCTAATTATTCACGAAATAAAGAAAAACTTAAACTAGAAATTTATCAACTTCAAGCTCGATATTATCCAAACTTGTCGACCATAAACTAAACAATAACAAATAAAATTAAATGATGGAATGATTGGCGCAATGGACAGTAATTTTAATTTATATAAAGTTAATCGTCATTAATCGATAGCGGACGAAGTTTATGATCGCTCTCTTGAATGATCTGCTACTGGTTCTGACCGTAGCGACTCGCACGAAGGTCTCCGTCACTTTACCCAGCTTCCATTTCAATGGCGGTATGGTAGATTGTCGTCCTTCACCAACACCATTGCACCTGTCTCTATACTTTTTCGACCAGTAAATCATTTGCCTCTCGTCTGTATTTGTAGATGCCATATACTCTCTGTGCCATCGTTTCCAGAAATGCTGCCTTATCTTCTAGAGATGCTGTCATCGTGGTAGTTTATTATCTGAAACATCTACGAAATTATTCTGAAGGTTCCAGCTATGAGCCCCCAATAAGGAAATGAGTTGGGATTAAAGCTACCAGATTGTTGATCAGAGGATAAAGGAGTTAGAGGTCTCAAATTTAACACCGCCTCAATTTCTATTAACAATGTGTTGTATTTCCTCATAGGTAAAAATGAGTCCTCGCGATGTTTAAATGCCTTTTTATCGCCTTCACGGCCGCCTCCTATATCCCTCCAAAGTGCGGGGAGCCGGGAAGTATAAATCTCTATTCAATCTTCCGATTTCACTAATTTCTCATCGATTTCATTTTCGCTCTTTGCTAAAAATTCGTAGACCTCATATAATTCTCGCACTGTCCTATAAAGTTTGTCACGTTATCGGAATATAACTGCGAGCATATATCTCTTCTTGCCACAAACCTTCTCAATGCAGCTATGAAGGCCTCGATGGTTAATGCCGTTACCAATTTTTCAAATGCACCGCTCTCGTGTGAAAACGTATGAAAACGGCT